AATGAATATCCTTTTGTGAATATCTTTGTTTTGGACACAATAAAAAAAAATTATCAGTATCAGCAAGTGTTTACTCAAAAGCATTAAAAACACACGTTAATCAAAGTTTGTGTGCAATATGATGAAATAAATACGATGCATTATAGTCATATTCATAGTTTGAATATAATTATAACGATTAACCATATTCTTCATAATTTGACCTTTTGTTATTATCTCTCTTTTGGACGTAAGGAAAAACGCAGTGATCAGTATCTTCAAGTTTTTACGCAAAAGAAGTAATGTTTACCAATGTTTGCTTGCAAGATGATGAAATATATGTGATGCATAATGTAATATTCATAATATGTATGAATATCTTTTTGTGATTATTTTTGTTCTGAACACAATGAAAAACAGTTATCAATATCATCAGGTGTTTACGCAAAAGAATTAAAAAACTTGTTAATCATTGTTTGTGTACAAGATGATGAATAAATACGTTGAATTAAAGTTATATTCCTGTTTTGAATATATATACTTTATTGACAATCTTTGTTTTGTTAGTTACGCCATCTGTAAAAGAATCCAGGATTTCTGCTATTTACATATCTTTGATTCGCTCTCAGATTTTAAGCGTGTTTCTAAAATTTTATAAGAAGGTTTAATACGTGTTTTGAAGTTTTTCCGATCCTCCTTTGATAGATTTTTCTTTACATTCGTAAGCACAACAGTATTTCACCATTTTCGATGAATTTTCATGAGAACCTCTGCAGACCTTCCTTACTCATACATTGAAATAGCACTGGATTCCCGTGCGAAGTGCCTCGCTCGCTTCCACTAGTCACATGACTAGGTGCTTGCTTCATATTGCAACCATCCACGAGCAATCTATTCGTATAATAAATCAATGGGAAAAACGCAGTGATCAGTGTCTTCAAGAGTTTACGTAAAAGAAGTAATGTTTGCTTGCAAGATGATGACATAAATGTGATGCATAATGTAATATTCATAATAAGAATGAATATCTTTCTGTAGTTATTTTTGTTCTGAACACAATGAAAAACAGTTATCAGTATCAGCAAGTGTTAACGCAAAAGAATTAAAAAACTTGTTAATCATTGTTTGTGTACAAGATGATGAATAAATACGATGAATTAAAGTTATATTCCTGTTTTGAATATATATACTTTATTGACAATCGTTGTTTTGTTAGTTACGTCATCTGTAAAAGAATCCAGGATTTCTGTTATTTACATATGTTTGATTCGATCTCAGATTTTAAGCGTGTTTCTAAAATTTTAAAAGAAGGTTTAATACGTGTTTTGAAGTTTTTCGATTAGCTTTTAGTATTTTATAAAGAAAGTGCATAAAAAGACAAATGTCTGTCATCTTCTTCCATTTCTTCTTTTCCTTTCAATTTTATTATCAAAGTGAGGATTCGTTAAATAATTGGATGGAATTTAAATCTCTTCTAGAATTCCCCTAAGAAATGCACACGAATAGCAGTAGCTTGAAACTGTTTATAAAAATGTGAACTATGTTTTGCTGTAAATGTAATGAACCGTTAAAATGTATCGCTAGCAAGTATCGCCTAGTCAAAAAATATTTCATTGCGAAGAATTTATCGTCTACTATAAAACCCGTTTCCAGGGAATTGCTCGAAAGGAATGTTACAATTTTATAATTACTTGTAAGCAACATCCCTAGACTGCAGAAAAGTCCTTTTAATTGATTTAAAGAATCATTTCAAAGTTCCACGCCATTTGTTGATAATCGGATATATTCTCCTTAGAATTCGAGACCACAAATTTCTTTCAGATAGAATATTTTAAATTTTAATTTCTGTTATTTTGTTATTTAATTTTATAGTTAGTCGTTTTAGCTTTAAAAGCTTACAGAGATTAAACGAAAAATATTGTTACTCATTATAATGATTTATTTTTTCTCAATTAAACCATTTGAGAATACGCGATAATTGCCGTGAAATTAATGCCGTAATTACAATCTCGATATTAGAGAAAATTTCGATTTTCAGTTGGAATGCTTACTACGTTACATCAACCGTAAGATGATAATAAGCATAAATAATTTTTTGAATTTTAAGATGGTTTTAAGAATTTTAAGATGATAACCATTTTTGTCTGATAATATTTCAGGAAGTTATCTAAGAAAAACACCAACAATTTGATTAATGTTATTTCCGATTGTAATTTAAAGACAATCTCTCCGAGGTGCACAATGCCAATCTGCATCTGGTATATCTTTGACATATATGACAGATATAGACCTCTCGAGAGTCAACAGACACAGACAGCTGACGTTTTTATCATTAGATAAAATATCTTTAAAGCAAATGAAATATAATTTAGAATACAGAACAAGAAACTTACAAAAGAATGGATTTAACTTGCAGAAGATAATTATTAAAATATTTTTAATTGTGAAATATTTAAATTTAGGAAATCGCATAAAAACACCGATCAGGCGAATGAATAAGGACAACTTGTTTACAAAATTTTATTCAATTTTCAGAACACCTCAAAATTCAAAAACATTTCGGGCAAAAGAACGATTATGATGACTTGTTTACAACATTTTACTCAATTTTCAGAACACCTCAAAATTCAAAGACATTTCGGGTAAAAGAACGATTATGATGACTTGTTTACAAAATTTTATTCAATTTTCAGAACACCTCAAAATTCAAAGACATTTCGG